TTGCGTATAACACGCACTTCCTTGCGATCCATTTCATATGCCATCAAAGTATTGTCCAATCCATAAACAAAGAAGATCAAATTGCAATCTGGATGAACTGCAATTACTTGGTACTCAAAATCAAGTCGATAATTCTTCCCTTCAAACAGGTCCAAGGAGCTAACAGTGTGCTTTAAGATCCAATTATTTGTATCATAGTCTTCAAGAAACCAAATTGACAGTTTGAAGATATCGAGCAGATCGACATTAAAAGCACTCAGGCAACCCTGAGTTTGATGAATTATGCCAATGTCATTATCACGGTCTGGCACAGGAATTTTCCTCCATTTCTTCCCCTCCATGTCAACCGCCACAATCTCATCAGCAGGCGTGACAGAGTGCAGAAAACCATTGAGGAAAACACTTCTTCGATTGACCGAAAGGCTGACAAGAACTACACCATTCCATCCATTTACATGGACACTCCATAGCCCAGTTTTAGACGAATTGATCTCCACCCCTGTGACGCATTCAGCTTCATCCTCCACATACTCGACCACATGGAAATGCGATGAGATGGCTGGATCAAAGCACAAGCAGGCAATGCGGTTCTCGCCATCAGCCCAATTGGCGTCCGGCAACATCACCCATTCCTCGGTCGCGGGATTGCACACGGCATAGTGGAACTTGCTAACACCATCAAACTGCAGGCAGCGGCAGAGGAGGAGGCCATTGCAGGAGTCCAAGGGGATGACCTCTTTGCACTGCGGCAGGAAGGCGAAGGTCGGGGAGATGAGGGGCATGCCTATCCCGGTGACGTTGGTGAAGTGGTGCTCCGCCGCCGAGCGCTCCTCGCTGAAGCTCGTGTAGAAGAAGCCGGACAGCGTCTGCGGCAGCTTCTTGCGGTGGTCATGGTCGGCGATGAGGTCGCGCCAGTACGGGCAGACGCCCTTGGAGCGGCACACGGAGCGGACGGGGAGGCGGCGGAGGATGTCGACGACGAGGTCGATCGTCGGTGAGGCTGGCCACCAGGTTCCGCCCCACGGGGAGATCCTCCATCGGGTGAAGCTGCCGGAGCCCGGAGAGGCCTTTAGCCTGCAATCCGTGAATCCGCGAAGAGGGATTCGAGCAGATGGAGCAGGTGAACAGTGAGCAGATGGGGATTGCTCGAACAAAACAATCAAAACGGCAAAGAGATAAATATCTGACAACGGATCAACACCATGGGTCATCAATCCGTGCACTAGACGAACTAATCCGAGAAGGTAAATCAGTAAATGTTTAGATCAGGAAACCTACACATCAAAGCAGCTCGCTCACTGCGGTGGCTAGCTTCACTCGGGCTACCATCGTCAAGAGCATCGTGGATGTCTCTCCCATTGCCCCTTCTCCTCTGCATGCTGGCTAGCCCCGCCTCACATCTGGCTTAAAGGGTCGAGATATCAGGTGTCGTGGTTTAGGGATACGAATCAGATTTAGCCAGTAGCTAAGGGAATCAAATGAACTTAGGCCCTGTTTAATTTCCGAAGAAAAATTTTTGGCGTGTCATATTGGATATACAGACACACATTTGAAATATTAAACGTAGTCTAGTAACAAAATAAATTACAAATTCCGCTTGGAAACTACGAGAAGAAAAGTCTAATTAATCCGTCATTAGCAAATATTTACTGTAGCACAACATTGTCAAATTATGGCGTAATTAGACTTAAAAGATTTATCTCATAATTTACACGCAATCTGTATAATTGGTTTTTTTCTACATTTAATACTCCATACATTTATAAATATTCGATGTGACAGCCGTGAACTAAACAGAGCCTTATTTTTCAATTTGGAATCAATGTCCCAGCAGACACTGAATTGGGGGCATCTAGGGATTTCGTCGCCTTCCCAGCAGACCCTTACTTTTCTTTTCTGTGTGGTGATTTTTAATGATCTTAATAATTGGAATATTGCTTTCCTTACCTTTTCTAGTTTGAGAGAGAGAGAGAGAGAGAGAAAGTTTGTGTATGTTCAAACAAGAGCACGTACAAGGGTACATCGAGGATAGCATAGATTGGTAAACCAAAAAGTTCTACAATAGTTCAACTATGCATGCTGGCTTCCTCTCATGTTTACCCTTATCAATTTTCCCAATTACCTGCTACAAACCGTGATAAAAATTATCAAAACTTCAACTATTATGTTCCTTCTCTAAGTTCGAATGTGTATAAACCAGAAATTCAGAATGACATAAAAAAAGTTATATACTTCTTTCAATTATGTCCTTACTAAGTTATTACTGTCAAATCGCAAATGCATCTAAAAAAAGTTACAGCCACATGGCTAAGCTTCCTTAAAATCGTTGTAATTTGACATTTCATTCTCCTGGCCGCCTAAAGGGCATAATTAACCATGTGAACATCCCTGCAATGAAACCATGCAAATTTAGCATTTACCTTCTGCAGCAGTTTTCCAAGCTATTTATGTGTTATAGTCCTCAATTGTCGTGCAATTGAATTTTGTAGTGTGATCTAACCAAATATTCCATTTCCAAATTATTATGTCTTCCATCCCTTGCACTAAAAAAGATGGTGGTAATGTTCTCCTTCAAAATACTCCCAGCAACAGAAATGCTTCGAAATCATTCAACAAGTGATACAGATTATTCGTGAGATTATTGTCATGGTTATATATTTGATTATAGAGATAAATTAAATACTTTTAGAAATGCACTAAGCAAATACTCTCTCCGTAAAAAAAACTAGTATTGGATAAGACATAACCTAATAAAATGATATGTCACATCTAATAGTAAATTGTTATTATTATTGGATGGAGGGCTTACAAAAACATTCTACACAATGCAACAAGAAGTATTTGGGTTAATTCAATCCATGCCAATGTAAATATGGTTATTAAAAAAATACTATTACAATTCGTCTATTCATAAGCGTGCCACTCAAATTTTACAAAACTAGAACCATGCCATCGTCATCACATTTTCCATCCATCTCCTTCTTTCCCCGTCTTCTTCCTTCGTTCTTCCCATCTTCTAGCGTTGTGATGATAGCGATAGCAGCACGAGCGGTGGTGGCGCCGTGGGGCTCACGAGGCAGCGGCAGAGGCAGAAGAACGGCCAGGAGCGCGGAGGTGCGTCCACCATTCAACCACCAATGAGGACCGCCATTCGACTGCCGATAGGGACCCGGCCACAGCGACCCGGCCGCGACGGAGGCGAAGGACTGGCCCGGAGTACAGAGGCTCGACCGCCATCCACACCGGTGGGGGCGGGCCTCACGCGGCGGTGGAGGACCGACCCGAAGCGTGAAGGCACGACTGCCATCGAAGTAGAGGTTGTTGTCCCGGCCTCACTCGGCCAGCCATGGAGCTTGACCTCCCGCCGAAGCAACCGGCCCTACCGCGTGCTCCTCTTCTTGTTGCTCCCTCACCTCCTTGCCGCCATCGGCAGCGCTCCCTGCGGCTGCGTGGCTGTGAAGCTTGCTATGAGCGGGCGTGATGCGAACCCATCGGCCTGCTCCCTACAGCGGCGGTGAAGGCGTTCGCGGTGGCGGCGGGAGGAGGCCGGCTTGCCGCCACCGGCGACACGAAGGAGCGAGGTTGTCGTGCGTTTGAGGGGGGTGGAAAAGAAGGAAAAGCAGCAGCAGCAAGACGGAGCGCCGCCGCCGCCGCCGCCGTGCGTTCCTTACTACAGGATGTTCCTTGTGATTTAGGTCCACCATCAATAAACGTTTTTATCTCAACTCATATGAAATCACCTCTCATAAATTTCACTTTCATATCCACATGAGTCTAGTAGACAAATAAATGTTTATAACAATATTACTCTTATATAATTAGATTTATCATTAATCACCAAAACCAAATTTTTAGTTCCTCCTTTTCTCTTAACAGAAGACGATAGGCCTCACCAAACCATGCCTTCACCTTGGCCCTCTTCATCTTGCCATAGAAAAAAAAATCTGCTCTTGAATACGACCAAATCAGCCTTAAAAAAAAAAAGAGCCAAGCATTGCTGGTGTTATATATGCAGCAGAAAAAAGTTATTTACAACTTCACCAAGGTGAAAAAAAAAGGGAAAAATAAAACAAACACTCTACTGTACAACCCCTTCAGATTGCTATCTCAAGATTCTCACGATATCTCTTGCACCATAGTAGATCCAAAGGTTGATCTCATCGACAATCTTGCTTGTGAGTTGGTCGGCTGTTAGAGCCTTCCGCTCTAGAGCCTCTACTCGGGCATGGCGAGCGGCGACATGGCGGTCCTATCCGGCCATTGCCACGCCGCCGCGACACTCCAACTCCAGTACGATTCGCTCCTCTCTGTTTTCTTCTTCCTCTGCTTATGTCTCTTGATTTGCTCTGCAACTACTAGTTCTGAGTCTGGGGCTCTGATAGCTGATAACGGCGCATGCAGAGGCGTGTCTAGAATGTTACAGTATCCAAAACAAGCATTATACATTGAAATAAAATTCGAATTGTGATCAACTGTTCTTAGCAAGACGTACATTCGTCCCGGTTATCTGTAAAACAGTTAGCAGCTTGGCAAGTTGGCATCAGCCATCAAGGCCTCAATGCTGCCAATGCCCTCCCATGAGCCATTTTGCAGCTCGCATCACACTCTTGTGATTCGTATTGTTGCAAATGAACATCACGGTGCAATGAATTGCAAGTGCATTTTGGTGTTAAAAACGATAAGAAATTTCACGGCGCAGATAAACATTATGTTCTATTGTTCTGAACAGAATAATATATTGGAACTTAGAGGAGGAGCAGAATAGTTGCAGTTTTGATCAACTTTGTCATGGTTGTAGCAGGTAATTTGCAAAATTCAGAAGGGTAACCATCAGAGGATCATCAGCCTGGATAGTTGAACTATCATAGCAGCACTTTTTGGTTACCAAACTCTCTCTAACCACAAAGGCCTGGGGAAGTAATATTCCAATTAATGAGACAATTATAGATCACCATACAGAAAAGAAACGTGTAGAAATGATCTGCAAGGGTAAACATATAGAAGCACTAAAGAAAAGAATAAAAAAATAAAAAGAATGATGAAAACAGGAAGTACATATGTGGTGTGCTCCAACATTCAAAACATTAGTCACACTGTCACAGTACCCTAAACAGATTGTGCTGATACAGTCAAAAGACCTTTCAGTGTTAGCATATTACATCAAAGCTTCACTATAATAGGGTAAACACCAGTAGAATAAAACAAGACAACCTTCAGAGTAACAGGACAAACCTTCCAAAAGACAATCTACATAGTACTAGTACTACCATCTGACTTCTTAATTCAAGTACAATAAAACAGACCTTGCTAAATCCTTGTACTAGAGAATGGCTTTCTGCCCACTCTAAGCTTGGTTCTCCTAGTGCAAAAGGATGTTTTCGCAGTAGTAAAAGTGGAGCCGACGCTCTGCATGTTAGCGCCCATCTGCAAATGACTCATAAAAGAGTGGAACATACGGTAGATATGGATCCGAGGAGTCATGTCCAAGATTGCGTATAACACGCACTTCCTTGCGATCCATTTCATATGCCATCAACGTTTTGTCCCATCCATAAACAAAGAATATCAAATTACATTCTGGATGAACCACAATTATTTGGTAGTCAAATCCAAACTGATATTTCTTCCCTCCAAACAGCCTCAAGGAGCTAACGGTGTGCTTTAATATCCAATTATCTGTATCATAATCTTCAAGAATCCAAATTGACAGTTTGAAGATGTCATCTGGATCAACATTAAAAGCACATAGGCGACCCTGAGTTTGATGAATTATGCCAGTATCACCTTCAGGCTCCGGCATAGCAATGGTCCTCCATTTCTTCCCCTCCATGTCAACCACCGCAATCTCAGCAGCACACGTAGCAGAATGCAGAAAACCATTAAGGAAAACACTTCTCGGATTGGCCCAATGCCTTAGAAACACATCATCGCCCCATCCACTCACATGAAGAGTCCACAACCCAGTTTCGGAAGAGTAGATCTCAACCCCCGTGACATCTTCATATTCAGCCTCCACATACTCAAGAACATGGAAATGCGAGGAGATTGCTGGGTCGAAACACAGGCAGGCAATGCGGGTCTCGCCATTAGCCCAGTCGGCATCCGGCAACATCACCCATTCCTTGGTCGCAGGATTGCACACGGCATAATGGAACGGCTCAATCTCATCATCGCTGTTGTTAGGCCCGGGCTGGAAGCAGCGGCAGAGGAGGAGGCCATTGCAGCAGTCCAAGGGGACGACCGTGTCGCACTGGGGCAGGAAGGAGAATGACGGGTAGATGAGAGGCACCCCTTTCCCGGAGACGTTGGTGAAGTGGTGCGCCGAGCAAGGGCAGCGCTCGCCGCTGATGCTTTTGTAGAAGAAGCCGGACAGCGTCTGCGGCAGCTTCTTGCGGTGCTCACGGTCGGCGATGAGGTTGCGCCAGGACCGGCAGACGCGCTTGAAGCGGCACACGGAGCGGACGGGGAGGCGGCGGAGGATCTCGACGACGAGGTCGTCGGTGAGGCTGGCCGCCGGGTTCCGCCGCCCCATGGGGAGATCCTCCATCTCGGGTGAAGCTGCGGAGAGGGTGTCAGCCTGCAATCCGCGAAGAGAAGGGGATTCGCCGGCAAGAGCAGAACATGGGGATTGGATTACCCGAACAGAAACATCGAAATGACAAAGAAGTAAAAATCTGACAACGAATCAACACCAACGGTTCATCAATCCATGCACTAGACGAATTAATTTTGGGAAGTAGAATAGATCGGGGAACCTACCGATCAAGGCAGCTCACTGGGAGGCACGAAGCATTAATTGCCGCGCGGTGCGGCTGCTCAGTCACGGCAGCCCCCCGTGCGCTCGCTACGGAGCAGGTCGCACGTGCCGGCAACCTATAGCCCTCGCCGGCAAAGCCGCGCCGGCTGCCTCGCCGGTCACCGAGAAGAAGACCTAGAAGCGGCGGCGAGGCATCCCAATGTGGCAATGTCGTTGCACTTCAGTAGTACAACCGTGACCTGCTTGGAAGGCCGGTTTTAGGCCCAAAACCCCGGTGGAAATGATCGGCCAGGTTTGGAAAAAAGTATACTTTGACTCCTCAAATGTCGTCTAAGTGTTGATTTATGTCATCCTACCACAGAACCGAACCAGGTATATCGACTCCTCTAACTATTAAATTCGGTACAAACAATATTTTTGGGTGGATTTGGAGGTATATTTCTTGGTGGTTTTGGAGGTAGTTTTAGCTGATGTGGCGCTTACGTGATGGTTTTGACTAATCTTTGTCCTCCGTGCCGCTTACGTGGCATTAGAATAAAAACAAAAATATAAAAATATGTGGGACCCATCCTCCCTCTCCTTTCCTTCTTCCTCCTCCCTCTCTCTCTCCCCCGCCCTTTTCTCTTCACCTTGGCCGGAGTGGCGGTGGGATAGTGGTGGGAACGACGGCGGTAGGGAACATCGGCAGCGTCCGGTGGTGGTGCACGCGCTCGTCCAGAGCCAGGTTGTGTCCAGTGGTGGGGAGGAGAAGGAGAAGGCGGTTGGCAGGAAGGATGCGGCTGAGGAGAGCGGAGGAGGAGGACGGCGTCCGATGGTGGGGACGGCCCGTCCGGTGGCAGGGGTGGCGCCACCAACAACTTCCTCGCCTGGCCCCCTACCATCCACGCACGGGGGAGGAGCTCACCGGCCGTCCACGCGCGGGGAGGAGCTCGCTAGTGGGGTTTTCGGTGCGCTCGAGCCACGGGAAGGGCCGAACGGGGTGAGCCGAAGAAGGCAGCGGGGTGGTTGGTCGGAGTCACACTACTGCTCCAGCTTCGGGGAGGATCTTGTGCTTCGTGCTTCGGCTGAACGCTGTCGCCGCCGTCGCTTTCGCTCCCTACCGCCATCCTCACCGCCACTGCCATCCCCACCGCCATCCCCACCGCCGCTCCGGCCAAGGTGAAGAGAGAAGCCGGGGAAGAGAGATGGAGGGAGGAGGAAGAAGGGATGACATGTGGGTCCCACATGTCGGTGGCTACCACAATACATTTTTTTGTGCGAATGGCATATGGTCCGACATATATTTTTTTTATTTTTGTTTTTATTCTAATTCAACATAAGCGCCGCACAGGGCAAAGATCGATCGAGACCGCCACGTCAGCCACCACCAAGGGACATTGTTTGCACTGATTTTGATAGTTGGAGTCGATATACCCGGTTTTGTAGTTGGAGGATATGAATCATACTCGGACGATAGTTGAAGGAATCAAAGTAGTTGCAGTTTTGATAACCTTTATCATGGATGTAGCAGGTAATTTGCAAATTCAGAAGGGTAACAATCAGAGGAAGCCAGCGGCTAGCCTGGATAGTTAGAACTATAGTAGTCTCTAGCCAGAAATGGCAGGGGAAGCAATATTTGAATAAATGAGATCACTATCGATCACCAAACAGAAAAGAAACGTGTAGACAAATACTTCAGAAAATAAGAAAAAAAGAAAAAGAATGAAGAAATCGAGAAGTACATATGTGATATGTTCCTAACTTCCAATTGAAGTTCCAAAACATTGGTCATTGGTCATGGTACCCTAAACTGATAACACTGGTACAGTCAAAAAGACCTGCCAGTCTTAGAACACGGCATCCAAGCTTAACTACCATGGAGTAAAACACCAGTAGAATAAAACAAGTCATACACTTCAGAACAATGACAAACTTTCCAAAAGCCAATTTACTTACTACGTACCATCAGACTTAGCAGCATTCTCAAAACAACACAAAGGAAAAGACATCATTCTAGTACAAACTGAACTTCCTAATTAAATATCAGAGATTGGCTTTTCTCACTCTTAGCTTGGTTATCCTTGGTGCAAAAGGATGTTTTTGCAGTGATAGAAGTGAAGCGACACTCTGCACGTTAGCACCCATCTGCTAATGACTCATTAAAGAGTGGAACATATGGTAGATATGGCTCAAAGGAGTCATGTCCGAGATTGCGTATAGCACGAACTTCCTTGCGATCCATTTCATATGCCATCAACGTTTTGTCCCATCCATAAACAAAGAAGATCAAATTACATTCCGGATGAACTGCAATTATTTGGTAGTCAAATCCAAACCGATATTTCATCCCTCCAAACAGCCTCAAGGAGCTAACGGTGTGCTTTAATATCCAATTATCTGTATCATAATCTTCAAGAATCCAAATTGACAGTTTGAAGATGTCATCTGGATCAACATTAAAAGCACATAGGCGACCCTGAGTTTGATGAATTATGCCAGTATCACCTTCAGGCTCCGGCATAGCAATGGTCCTCCATTTCTTCCCCTCCATGTCAACCACCGCAATCTCAGCAGCACACGTAGCAGAATGCAGAAAACCATTAAGGAAAACACTTCTCGGATTGGCCCAATGCCTTAGAAACACATCATCGCCCCATCCACTCACATGAAGAGTCCACAACCCAGTTTCGGAAGAGTAGATCTCAACCCCCGTGACATCTTCATATTCAGCCTCCACATACTCAAGAACATGGAAATGCGAGGAGATTGCTGGGTCGAAACACAGGCAGGCAATGCGGGTCTCGCCATTAGCCCAGTCGGCATCCGGCAACATCACCCATTCCTTGGTCGCAGGATTGCACACGGCATAATGGAACGGCTCAATCTCATCATCGCTGTTGTTAGGCCCGGGCTGGAAGCAGCGGCAGAGGAGGAGGCCATTGCAGCAGTCCAAGGGGACGACCGTGTCGCACTGGGGCAGGAAGGAGAATGACGGGTAGATGAGAGGCACCCCTTTCCCGGAGACGTTGGTGAAGTGGTGCGCCGAGCAAGGGCAGCGCTCGCCGCTGCTGCTTTTGTAGAAGAAGCCGGACAGCGTCTGCGGCAGCTTCTTGCGGTGCTCACGGTCGGCGATGAGGTTGCGCCAGGACCGGCAGACGCGCTTGAAGCGGCACACGGAGCGGACGGGGAGGCGGCGGAGGATCTCGACGACGAGGTCGTCGGTGAGGCTGGCCGCCGGGTTCCGCCGCCCCATGGGGAGATCCTCCATCTCGGGTGAAGCTGCGGAGAGGGTGTCAGCCTGCAATCCGCGAAGAGAGGGGATTCGCCGGCAAGAGCAGAACATGGGGATTGGATTACTCGAACAGAAACATCGAAATGACAAAGAAGTAAAAATTCTGACAACGAATCAACACCAACGGTTCATCAATCCATGCACTAGACGAATTAATTTGACAAGAAGTAGATGTTTAGATCGGGGAACCTACCGATCAAGGCAGCTCACTGGGAGGCACGAAGCATTAATTGCCGCGTGGTGCGGCCGCTAGGTCACGGCAGCCCCCGTGCGCTCACCGCGGAGCACGTCGCACGCGCCGGCAACCTACAGCCCTCGCCGGCAAAGCCGCGCCGGGCCGCCGGCTGCCTCGCCGGTCACCGAGAAGAAGAAGACCTAGAAGCGGCGGCGACGCATCCCCGATGTGGGAATGCCGTTGCAGTTCAGTACACCCATGAGTCCGACCGTGACCTGCTTGGAAGGGAATTTTTTTTATTTTTAATTTTTTTTATTAAAAGTTTTACAAAAATAATTTTCCATTTTGAAAATTGACGGAAGTAGTCGCCTACCGCCCTCTGGGAGAGCGATTTTTAAAAATCGCCCTCCCGGAGGGCGGCGAAAATGACGTGGCAGACGGCCGTTCGCTCTCGGGCGACGGCCGTCAACGAAATTTGCAGGCGGCCCCCTTGCCGCTCTCCGCGAGGGCGATTTTGTACTGTGCGGGGGGCCGCCTGCAAATGGGCGGCGAGGGGGGGCATGGAATTTTGCAGGCGGCCCCCTTGCCGCCCTCCGCGAGGGCGATTTTGTACTGTGCGGGGGGCCGCCTGCAAATGGGCGGCGAGGGGGCATGGAATTTTGCAGGCGGCCCCCTTGCCGCCCTCCGCTAGGGCGATTTTGTACTGTGCTCTATATTTTTGTATAAATATCAATAGTTATCAAATCTTTTTATATTGAAAACTATACAAGATTAAAATCTCCAAGACTGGTAAAATACAATTTTATTATTTTGTAGGGCATATTTGGATTGTTACCGTACAAATATTTTGTTACCGTACAAATATTTTATTAATTTTTAGGGCATATTTGGATTGTTAGTGCCAAATTTTTCTTCACGACCAAATATTTGGTAAAGTAAAATTGCATTTGATCATATTTGGTTTGCTGCCAAAATGTAAAATTGTAGTGAAGAATGTTCTACATAATCTCAAATCTAGATTACGTATTACCAATGAATAGGCTTCCATTTTCGTGTGTTGTGTGCTAGTGGGAAAGAAGATATGAAGAGGTTGCCTTCAGATTGTCAATTATATAGCGTCGTTTTCACTGCAATATATGTGAACTCAATGAGATACATTATTCATTAGATATGACAAGACGATCACGCGTGGGCGTGATTCACTTTATGTAAACAGGCAGCGCCGAAAGTTGATAGTGATAACTCGAGCTGCCGCTTTTCATGTGTGCTGTTGTGGACTGTGCGCGCTACTGGATCTGACACTACCGTGCAGCGCCGAAAGTGTGTTGTCGTGAGCATAAGTTGTTCTAGTACCATATGAATGAAAAGAACTATGTAGACGAGACAAACACAAGTAGTACTGCAGTAGTAATAGCAAAAGTAGTACTGCTTTACAAGTTTGTAAGCCAAAAGAAACGGTCACATAAGGACTGAAGAGGTAGAACACTACTGACGAGGCCTCTTACCCCTGTCCCTCCTACCCTGCGCCCTAATGTGCCCGTGGGAGTACGTGAGTCGGTCCGGGGGTACGGCACGGCCAACCCGTCCTGCCTGTACAGGTGTGACCTCTGGCTGCTCCTGAGTGTGCGCCTCTGGAGCTCCTCCAAGCTGAGAGGAGCCTAGTACGTCGTGGTGGTCTGCACCGTGCAAGTCGTCGTCGTAGAACTGGCTAGTAGGACCAGTCCTACCGGCGTGAGACGAAGAGGCCCCAGTACCGAAGATCCCGGCTGCAAATCCTGCTGGACAAGGACCATCAGTTTCGTACAGGTATTTAACAGTATTAATAAAAAGTAAAGTACCGTGTGGGCGAGGGATCGACGCTCCGTGAGAGGAAGAGCTGGCGAACGCGCCCGAAGAGGTGGCGAACGCCCCTGCGGAGCTCGTGGAAGCGCCGGTCGTGCCTGCGAACGCGCTCGAAGGCAGACGAGGTCCTGCGATGAGGAAACGTGCAGTTAAAACATGGTGACATAATCGTGCAAAAGCTGAAACAAAAATGAACTAATATCTGGGCTGAACTGTACCGTGCGAAACCGGTGCTGTAGGTCGCACTGATCCGAAGCTAGGGGCGCTCGAAGGCAAACGAGGTCCTGCGAGGATGGATCATCAAGTTACGACGGGGTGATGTTTTCGTACAAAAACAGAAACAAAACTTAAGAAACCTCTGGGCTGAGCAGTACCGTGCGAAATAGGTGCCGTAGGTCGAGGTCCTGCTCCGACAGTAGGCGCGCGAGGCCGTGGTTGTACCGGACCAGCTGGAGGTACGACGTCCACGGCGCTGCGACAGGAGAAGACGCGCATGACCGCACGCATCTTCTCCTGCATCCGGTCGAAGGTCACCCTCTGCTCAACGTCAGTCAAGTGCAAACCTCTGTTCAACCTCACTTGGACTGCGGTGATATCGGCACTGATATCCCGTGCGGCATCAGCCTATGCAAGATGGAAATAACAAATTCAGTAGTTGTCCTATATTATGCAAGATAAATGAAATAATTGTAAGAAGTAATACAAATTGGACGTACCGCCACGAAGTAGTCTCGGTCACGGTGCGTGGGATACGCGTCCGTGACAGCGGCAACGTGCGGCTCTGGGGCATCTGGAGTGAAGGTCACACGCGCACGAGTGCGAGGAAGGTACCAGCGAAGGTAGTCACGGTAGTTCTCCTCCGTGTGTGGGAAGAGCTCGTTGATCACCTCCTCTGTAGCTAACACCCAGTCGTCAACGTACTGCTGTACACGTGGAGCCCAAAGTGCGCCTGCTAGCTGTCCCCGTCGAGTCAACCTGTGAAGAGAGGTAAATTATATGGCTCGATGAAGTAATTATCATAAAAATTTAGAAATGAACAATCCGAACTCACGAGTGGTCGGCAGGGAGGACGGTCGGCTGCACGTTGCCCGGAAACACCTGCCTAAGTCCGAACTGTCTCATCACACGCTGCGGGCAGTGAGGCTCAACGAAAATGTCGAACACCATCGGCAGGATGGTGAGCCAGTAAGCCTGGTCGCGTGTGCACAAGGACGAAAGTCCTAGCGGTGCTCTCGCAGCGACGGCCTCTTCTATGTACGGCTCCCAGATGACGTCGCTCGGCTGGAGACGGTCAAACTCGAACACGAAGTCCGGGTAACCACGTCTCACCTGGACGTGAGCGTAACGACGCTGCAATAAACATGATCGGAATTAGACATGTTATGTGAAGAAAAAAAAAAGACGACTGATAAACTTATAACGCAGCGAAGTTGCACTAACCCCACGTCGACACCAGTAAGTCCCCATCGTGGGACCGTCCTCTGGCCACTGCGCGCTGCGACCAACCCCGTAGGGTGCGCTGTCCACCACTGGTCGACCTATGGCAAACCTCTCGGCTGCCCAAAGCTGAAGCAACATAGGGCAGCCAGCGATGATCGCTCCCGCGTCAGTCTTCGTGCACGCCTCACAGAGGGCACGGTACGTGGCTGCTAGCACGGCAGAACCCCAGCTCCACTGCGGCACGTCCTGTGGCTGAGCATCCGCGATGGACCGTGCGTAGTGGACCAGCCGGAAGTCCACAGCGTGCCCGTGGGTGCTAGTGAACATCACCCACCCGAACAACCACAACAGGTACGCCTCAAGGGAGCGTCGGACCGAGTAATCATCAGCGTCAGGGTGCAGAAGGTCCGCCTACAATTAAGAATGAAATGTTAGTACAAAACACTCATTCGGTCGCAAATAAGCACGTATGATAATAACAACTTATTTACTTACAGTGAACTGGAGCAACCAAGCCTTGCTAGGCCCGACTGTAGAGTACGGAGGAAGGGTGGTGGTCGGTCCTAGGTGTGGAAGGCGCATCACCTGCTCGAAGCGCGCAGTGATATCCTCCTTCCACCCAAAAACACCGTCCACGGGACCAACTGCTGCTCCCGCCAGCGGTAGCCCGAGCAGGTACGACACGTCCTGCAGTGTCGGAGCCATCTCCCCACAGGGAAGGTGGAACGTGTGCGTCTCAGGTCTCCAGCGGTCTACAAGAGCGGCAAGGAGTGACCGGTCTGCATCCCACCGCTTCGCTGGGTCACGGTCGTCCGCCGCCGCCTCAACAAGCCTACAAAGTGGTAGAAGGCCTGCCGCACGCAACCTGTATAGAGCAAACTTCAAACATAAGTACAACACAAAGCAAAGTTGAGTTGAAATGTGAACATACGCGTACCAAGGAACGTGATGGGGGTCGACACGCAACCACTCGCGCGACGTGCGTGGACGGAAGGTGCCGAGCTGTGCACCCTCGACTGCTGACAGGAACGAGCGGTGGTTCCTGTCAATCCCACGGTTCAACAGCGCCGGTGTGTCGTACGCCATACCTGCATCAAATAGGTTGATCAGAAACATATAAATAATTAGTTCAACATAAGTAATAAATGTTCATAAGCGAATTACTAACACATATTAAACAAGAGTACAAACAAACAAAAGTGTTTAGTCCGAACACTCATCACGATAACATTATGATACAACACCGAATAATTCGCAATACTACTAGTACAACAATAGTCGGAGGTACTCATTACAACAACATTGAATTGAAATTACACGATAGAAGTATTTAGTCCGAACACTCATTACATCACAACAGCATTTTATTTCCTAAATCGAAAGCATTGTTACACCATGGAATCGCCTGCTGCGCGACGACGCCTTGGCCTTGCGCGCCTGCTTGTTGTTCCTTCACCAGGTGGTCGCCTACCATCACTTGCCTGTCCAGATGGACTAGCATCTGCGCCGCTTGGAACTTCTGCATTCTTCGGGCATTTCTTGTAAGTATGGCCGCGCAGATCACACTTGCTGCAACGTAAAGTCCTCCCACCTGCTTCTGACTCATCCATATCATTTCTGATGCGTCTAGTTTGGCGTCGACCCTTTTTCACCCTTAACTTAGATGGATCTGGAATATAAAAAACTTGGGCACTCAGCGTTGTGTAAGATCCTGAGATCCCGAACCCATATATCTCCTCACTCCATGTATGAAAGATTGCTTCTTTCCTGAAATAATTTGAGACGTACACATTGGGAGATATGCCACAATCACCGGCAGCAGCAAGAACGTGTGAGCAAGGAAGGTGATGAAGCTTCGGCTTCATACAACTGCAGGTACATCCACCATCCGCCTTCAAGACACATTCCTGCACGGCTTGCTTGCGATAGATACCACGCCTGCTCCTATCAACACACATTATTTCATACCGATGCA